TTTCGTATTCCCACCATGCATTTCGGTGGAACACAGTGGAACACTTTTTTTGTGTGGAGAACTCTATCTTGTATTTCTAGTATCTTTGTAAATAGGCATAACACATCCTGTAACACGGAAGCGAATGCATAGTTCACCGCGAATTTAATTTATTATAAAGATCCTTTAGGTAAGTACGTTTGCTTATATTTTGAATAATTTTCTACTTACAAATAAGCTTTCTTTTCATTTTAAAATGTTACCAAATAGTATACGATTGATTGATTGATTGGCTGACCGACTGACGGATGATGTGGAAATAAACTTTATATTGAATATAGAATATTGAGTGGTTGCACAAGAACGATGTGGATAAGCCTTGTATTAACCTTGTGCCAAAGTGGCAAAACCTATGAAGCGCCATCTGTTCACTTATTATTTAGCAAAAAATGATGGTTTTTTACGTTATATATTTATATAGTATTTTATATAATATAGAAAATTGGATCAAGTGCGATCCATGGACCCCGTGTAAGTAGCTCAGGTCCAATATCTTCTACAGTAGTAAGGACCTCTAACGGGATATTCCAACCTGATCGTCGTGCTATGCGATCGCGAGAGGATGTAAACAACGATTTAACAACCGTATTGAGGACGTTCGTGGCTTTATTTGGACAAATAAATACTGTTAAAAATTTTGAAAATACGAAAAGTTTCACATGTAACAGAATTTAAGCCCAAAATCGACACTAATATTATAAATAGATAATTTATATCCGAAAATATTCAGATGACGTCAGAAACGGATGAAACGAATGAATGAAATAGTAATACGTATGACATTAATAAACAAAAACATCATTAGCATCTATTAATAGAATAAATCATATAAATACATAGGCCTATATGAAAATGTACTGTATTATTATTATTATTATTATTATTATTATTATTATTAAATGATTAAATAAGTTATAAAACCATTACAAACAATTCCGACAAATAAATACTTGTTAATGTTAAAAATTCAAAAGGTTTCAACGTTAATTACTGTATACACATTTTGGTAATTTCCTGTCATTTGGGTGTTTATTCAAGTAGTTCTGTATCATTTGGGTAGTTGCGTATCATTGGGGTCCTTGCCTACATGGTTGTTTTACGCCAGTACCTATGATCTTACTAGCTTGTTTGATTACCAGCATTTTTTTCCCCTTATTATTGAACCAAATCACACTGCTGAGTTATTAAAGCCGATTGTGTAACAGATACATTAAACAGATAAAACATTACACTCAACATTAAATTTTCCTAATTCTAATGAGGAAGAACTTTTCTTTTTTTAACATTTGGAGCTCAACTTATCTTTGTTACAGCCCAGTTTAATATGTCATCAGTTTAAACAACTACTAAGGTAATTATATCTACACAAAAAAAAAACAGGAACATCAATATAAAAAAAAAGACTTTCATTAACAGGTATAAAATAATTAGAAATAATGGAAACAGTAATGGAAAAAAGAGCATCCATGTGGAGCTCCAGTGGTACTTTACATTTGTTAGACAGAATCAGTGAATCAACATCATCCTGTCTCCAATCATGAAGAAAAGCAGCCACAATTTAACAAAAGATTAACGTTTACTGTTTATTAATTAATTAATACAGATGGATGAAAGAAAATACACATTTAAAATCCAAGGGTTAAAAACCAGTTAAATAATTATTATCCAAGAGCATTAAATAAATTAATCAAATGTCAACATCACTGTTAATTTATATTTTTTGAAAGAAAGTACCTTTCAAAGGCTGCACTGATACCAATTTTGTACTTATAAGTTAAATAATAATAATAATAATATTTAATAGTAATATTTATTATATTCCAACAAAAACCAATTGAAGATATGGATCATTATATTAATATTATAGATACATATTTATTTTTTATTTTTATTTTTCTATTTCATTAGGTCTTTACATAATCATGACTATGTAATTGTAAAACATTTGTGTGTATAAATGTTAAAAAATATCTTACTTGTAGTACTATCATCATTCGTATCAGTAGTAATATGGTTTAAAACTTCAGTTGAAAGCTGCTCCGTAATGGGAATAAGAACTGTTGTAGGTACATTGCTGTAGTTGAAATTGTGATATGTCAAGACCCTAATGCAATTGCATCAACACTGACTATATCACAGTGAGGCAAAAAGCAGTAAGGTAGTCACAATCACAGAGTAGAAATACAACTCGTTTATTTCACAAGGAAGCCAATCCAGTTTACAGCTGTCATGTTGTTATGTTGTTACTATTATAATAAAAAAAGGCATTAAAATTATTATTTTTAAAATAGTAAATTGTGCTCTTTCACCAAAACAATATAATGTAATATATTTTGACTTTCATTAAAGAAACACTAATAATATGGACATTATTTTATTTTTTATTTTTAAATTTGCATTCAATAAATATATAGGCCTATACTACTACATAAAATATAATGGAAATTTAACATCATTCAAAGCACTTAAAAATTAATAGCCAAAATATAGGACCTAGGCTAGCATACACTTATAACTTACCAATTTAATAATGGAAGAGGTTATTCGCATGGTACCGTGCGAATTAGAAATAAGAAGTTATTTGCACGGTATGACAACCGTTACGTCATGAAACCTTAAATGCTGATTGGCTAGGTCTACTGTGCGAATAAGACTCATAAGAGCTAATTGGCACGGTACCGTGCGAATTGTCGAAAAAAAATTATTCGCACGGTAGAATGTTGTAGATAGAAATACTCATACTGTATGATAATTTATTTCACGGCATACCGTATGAGTTGGGAACAGCACAGACAGTCGATCCGATAATCCTAACTGAAGTACAATAGGTTCTAGCTTAGCATTGTGTCTGCAGACCTTTTACTCTTTTCTTAAGCTATTCTTGAGAAATTGCCATGAAAAAAGCCTTTGTGGAGTATGTACTGGTGGTATTATAGTCCCCTAGGCCTAGTAGTGATATTGATTTTTGTTCCATTCAAAAATTTTAAATGGGGAAACAAAAGAAAATTAATTACTTAGCACCAACATTGATGGGAATTGGAACAGAGGAGGATGAGAGCAGGGAGGTGTTACATCTCCCTGATGAGAGGATGCCAAACTAATGCAAAATTACTCGATTTTATGTGCAGTTTTAATAGTTTTTTAATTTCGTGGGCTGCAGTCGTGCTGCACTTAGCCCACCTGTAGACTCGTACATCTCTAAAAGTCTCTCTCTTAATCCCTCTCTACCATAATAAATCCTGGATCCGCCACCAAATATATGAACTATATACTGTACTGGAAAATAAGATTTATATTGATGTACATTCTTCATTTTGTACTTTTGCCAATGTGTGGAAGTGTTTTCGAAATGCCACTGGATAAATTGATTGTAGGCCTAATTATATACACAAACCACATAGCGCTCAGAGACCATGGGAGCTGTGATAATTGTCGAAAGATTGTTGTATATACAGTCAGTACTCTACAACAAAGTTATTTTCGTCCTGAAATTTCTTTAATGAAATCAACAAATGAATTGTACATAGTCACTAAATGCCTGACCGACCTTCATTGACATTAGGCTTTCATGGCTGCTTTTGTGATTGTGAACACTGCCAGAAGCCAAACAAAGAAGAAAACTTTTATTGCCGCAGTTAAACGTCAAATGGTGATTAGCTAGGTCTACCGTGCGAATAAGACTCATAAGAGCTTATTCCCACGGTAGACCGTGCGAATAACCACTCCCTTTAATAATAGGCCTGCAGCGCTATCAAATAGGCCTGCAGTGCTAGGCATAGACCCCTCAGTTCTGTTTATTAATATCACTACTTTTTTTACTACACTGTCTATCTAGACAGAGCGTGACTACTAATTAGAGGAAGGGGAGGGCTACGTATACCTCCCAGACTGCCTAGGCCTAGCTCTACATCGGTCATATCATGCCTAGGCCTAGCTAGGAATGGAGGCAGTATTCGTTAGACTAGAGGCCTAGCATTTTGGGCCTAGGCTAGGCGTAAACGTCTAGGCCTAGCCCAGACCAGCCAGCCTAGCCCTAGCTAAGCTAGCTTCGATCTCATCTAGGGCCTAGATCTCATTTAGGCCTAGATAGGCCAGGCCTATTAATACTAGCCTAGACTAGGCCTGGCCTAGGCCTAAATGATCAATCAAATAAACGTTTGTTTTCGGGTTATAAATTAATACATTTGATTTTATTAAATACATGATACACTTACGAAAAAGACAAATACCATCATAAGCTACGAACGTCCTCAATACGGTTGTTAAATCGTTGTTTACTCTTCTCGCGATCGCATAGCACGACGACGATCAGGTTGGAAATTCTTTGGATAATTAGATAACCTGTGCAGAAAATGGAATATCCCGTTAGAGGTCCTTACTGTAGAAGATATTGGACCTGAGCTACTTACACGATAGTAGAGTCATTTTCATGAGATCCGTGACTAAATTTAGGATATCTTTTTTTCTTGATGGATTTGGCAAGACGGACCAATTTAGAAAAAATATAGCTCCTATATAC